GAGAGAGAGAGAGAAGGGGGATCGGAATGACAAAAAGGGGTAGGTTGGGGGGTAGAGCGTAGAGGGCGCAAAAGGTGCAAAGATAAATCTAAAAATAAGAATTCCCCGCCCACTTGCACACTTCTGTCAATGAAACGTCCATATCGGACCTCCCAAAAGGCATGGCTGTGTTTACAGCGCCTTCTAAAACATAGCAACGTGAAAACTTTCCATTTTAGCAACTCCGATATCCAAGAAAAAGGTATCTATTTTTATTTGAATTAATGCGAAACAACAAGTTGCCTGTACAACCCGGATACTCTCAAGTCATTGAGCTGACGTATTTTGAGCAAAGTGAATAAGCCGCAGGTCACATCAAGTTCTGCATAATGTGAACACCCAAACAGTGGAGTCCACTTGAAACGAACATGGTTAATCCGAAAGCAGTGGTCAACCAAAAAGGAGATAGAATCTCCATTAATTTTTTCCTCGCTATTTGTGCAATCTCTCTACACTGAAAACACAGTTAAACAGGAGAAAATACAGGGGTCTCGTAGACTTTGACTGATGCGGACTTGGCTGTAACATATTAAGTTCAGAGATGTGCTCCCATTTGTAAAGAGGTTTATTCAAAGGGAATTCTCATAGTTGAATCAGGGTAGTTGGTGGGTGCTCTCGTATGAATTGCTTTTTTCTTTCCAATCTAAATCAAGCATCTATCTCCCGTATCTTTCCTCCTTCTTTTCTTTGCATGTTACTCTCTAGTGACTTATTGTGTTGCAAATGCTGCCAAACTCTTACCCTCCCCCCCCCAAAAAAAGTAGAAAAAGTAGGGGCTGTTGATGTTTAGTCAAAAGGGAGGAAGCGAGAATGTGCCAAGGTAAAACGCCAAGGCTTGTTATTAATTTTTACAAAGAAATAATGTGTTCAATATTTAATTTATTTGCGAGAGGAAACTATTTCATTGAAAGTTTGTAAAGCTACTAAGGGTTTTGGCTATAGTTTCCTCATAATTTTGTTACTCATGTAATTCCGATTACTATAAACTTTTGAAATGTTTTTTAACAGTGTTCGCGCTCGCTCATATTCTTGAGTAAGACATGCCTTGTTCACCTTTCATATAAAGAGAAATCAGAGAAGGAAAACAAAAAGTAAAACAGATGATAATACCGGGCTGGGGGAATGAATGAATGAACGAAGGAATTAATTAATTACTTAATTAATTAATAATGAT